CCCCCCTCCCTCCCGGACGAATGAAATCACGCTGTGCCGTCGGCGGTTACAATGGCGAAAGTGCGGAAAAATTTCGTATAATTGCCACATAATTGCGTTGTACGCTGCGAGTTGTGTCGCGTCACACGGTGGGGGCCGGGCCATTGAATTAAATAAGCCGCACTTTGAGCGAAAATACGCGATTAAAATGTGTGCTTTTCAATTTTACCGTTTACGCGGAGTCACTCGCCAGAGGTTAATCACTTTAATCGTCGCGCGCGATGAGATTTTTTTTCCGTTCCGCGGTGCCTTATCGCAATTTCGTAGATCAGGTAGGCCTTCGCATAATATTGCAATTTTAATCTCCGTCACGTGCGCGAGACCGTATGGCAATTAGAAGTAATATCGATGAAAATAGGATTCGCGTACGTCAGCGTTCGGCTGCAAACGCGGTTTCCACGGCGTTTCGGCTCTCCGTTAAAACGACGGTGAAAGCCCGGATGGAAGAGATGTTAGAAGTGGACGAAGAGTTTTGGTACTTTTGAATTAATTTTAACTTCCGACGTAAGACGTCACGGAAGAAAAGAATTGACTCTCACTGCTAAAACCAACCGTCCGCGCGACACAACTGAAATTTAGTTACCAGGCCTAGTTTTTCGGGGGGCAATTCTTTCGACTACAGCCGCGCACACAACTACGACTATGGTCGTACACGGGAAGGAGGAATTTGCCCCCGCAGTTGAAAATAAGTTCCGGTGGTCAAATTTCAATTGTATCGCGTGGGCAGCAGCTAGTTTCTAATTTCTTTTCCCGTTGATCTCGTTTCAACGTCACTCGATGAAAATTTCACTCGCACGACCCGCTCAGTTTCACAGAGTTACATCGAACGATGCGATCGAAAAATGTCGTATCACATCGCATCAAAGAGTCATCCACAGTCGATGCACTTTGAACAGTCTGACACGTTCTCGCTGAAAGCTCCGGTAAAAGTAAAAGTAACGTACGCGCGCGCCAGGGAATGTGTGCGCGTCGCCTGAATTTTTACGGCTCTCTTCCTTTCTCTCTCTCGATTTGAAAATCGCACGTTCACCTTCAAACAAACAAAATAGGCCGTCGTACCGCCATTTGGCGTTGCCGGGCTCTCTCTCTTTCTCTCTGTCGGGAAACACGGCTAGTTCGTTGCTCCGTGCCGCCCGGAAAAAGCCTTATAACGAGAGCGTAACTGAAACTCAGCGGCCGCGGTAATTTAAACACAGGCTGTTCCCCCTCGGGGGCGAAACGTTGTCGAAGCTGCGGTACCGAATGCGCCAAAGAGCCAGGTAGAGGGAGAGAGATAGAGAAAGAAGGAGGGGGGGGGGGGNNGGGGGGGGGGGGGAGAGAGAGAGAGAGAGAGAGTATAGTTTACCTCAACTTGGAAATTGGAAATTCTCGCATAGTTACGGCTGAATGCTATCGGATTTCGCGTTATTCGAGCAGCTTGAGCAACTCGTCCGAATCAAAGTACATCGTCATCGCGATTAATTAGGTTTTGTCGGCGGTAACGCGGAGCGCGGGTGCGATTCGATTTTTCGTTAAAGTGCCGGCACACACACACACACACACACACACACACTGGCAATATACGTTAATTACCGATTTATCGCAGGTAAATTTCAAGTCCGGCATTCGCGGAATTCGCCGAAAATTCGGCCCGAAGGATCGATGCATACATCTGCATATTAATACGCAATCTGAACGGTTAAATTCGCGCCACTACCGCCGTGAGATCGCTTCTCGCCGCAATAATATATGTAAATACAGGTCGCTGCGGCGCGATTTCGACTCTATTTCTCATCTCGGTCGCTCCTTACGGCGAACGGAAGGGGAAAATCGTACTCACGAGGATCGTGAGGAAGTTGCGGTGCGAACCAAAGAAAAGGGAAAGAAATGAACGGGGATCCAAAAGCTCCGGAGCTTTCTCCTCCTTAATCGGCGCAACGTGTATTCGCGCGAGGCAGAAACGAGATGAAATCACCCTCGCGCCGCGCGCGCGGAACGAATTGACAGTTTTAAAAAGACGCGAGTCCGAAGCGCTCGATATCCGCCGCGGTGGAAAAAATGCCGTCGTAAGGATGAGAGACGGAAGGACGATGGAAGAAGGGAACATCGTTGGGACACGTACGTTTCACGCACGATTGTCCCTTCGCGGAGGTATATCGAGCATACGTTTTTCCCTCCTCTCCTTCTCTCTTTCTTTTTTTCGGGCTCTCCCTCTCTCAGACAGCGGCGGCGGCAGCTTTCGCGCCATTTGTTCTCCGGCGGCGGCATCTGCGTTCTTGGGTGTTTCGCGGAATTTCGGAATGTGTAAACGGTGGAAACTCGCGCTTATATAAATTTATGGCGCTCGCGTGACTACACCGCCGGGGGGGGGTTAGTTAGGCGACGCGGTACGGTCGGATCACCCGCAAATAAATGTAATCAGAGGAGCCGCCTAACGAGTCGCCCCTTTTGGCCGCGTTGTTGCAGCGTGTTGCGAGCGAGAGAGAGAAAGAGAGAGAGAGAGAGAGAGCGAGAGAGACGAGGAAACGACGACTAGAGAACCGATGATCCTCCTGCTCCTTGGCCGGACGAGTCGGGGCGCACGCCGAGGACGCTGAGGACTCCGCGGGGACTCAGCAGCGCGGGGTGCCATCGTACCCCGTACGGTGCCGATGATTCCGTCAGGACTAATCGCTGCCGGCGACTCGTCGATCGTCACCAGAGCGTCGTGTGCGCGCGGCCACCGCCTTACGACGACCACCGGGTGGGCAACGCATGCACCTGATGATGGAAGTGAGAGCCCGCACGGAGCCGATCAGCAGCAGAGCGACAGCAACGAGCCGCTACTACTTTGAACTCGGGACGCACGGAGGGAGCGGAGGTGGCGGCAAGCCGTACCGGAAGCGGGAGCGGGTGGACGACGGCGGTATAAGGGTGGCGGTTGCGGTGGTGGCGGCGGCGACGACGGCGGCGGCGGTGCGGAAAAGGGCGCAGGGGAGCGAGGGCGGGCGCAAAAAAGCGGCGACGACGGCGGCGAGCGAGGGAAGAAAGCGGAAGTCGAAAGAAGCGGAGGAAGCGGGTCGTCCATCGGCGGGAGGGCCCCACAGATGCGGGGCCCGGAGGGGCCAGTCCGCGGCGGCGTGACGCGATGCGGACGTCCTCCTCCTCCTTGCCGAGGAAGAGGAAAGACCTCTCGCCTCTCGACACCGTCCTCCTCGCCGGTCGGCAGCCGTCGTCAGCTAGATATGTCTATCGACCACGCCGACTCGGGGATCGGCGGAAAGGGGGACGCGTCGGACAGAGTGCGCAGGGGGAGAGCGGGAACCTCGGTGCAAAGGCCGAAGGTAGGGTATCGTCGCGCGACGCCAGGAGTCTGCTCCTCCTGTTGGCGCTCCTCTGCGCTCAGTGCTGCCTGGCGGCCACCGAGGCCCTCGCCGGCACACAGAAGTACTGCACCCGAACGGTCAAGACGCGGTACGGCGTCCTCCGCGGCGTCGAGGCCCGATCGTCGACGGCCGTCGAGACTTACTACGGCGTGCCGTACGCGACACCGCCACTCGGCGCGTTGCGCTACATGCCGCCGGTCACCCCGACGCCCTGGCGCGGCACGAAATTCGCCGACACGATGCCGCCGGCCTGCCCGCAACGGCCGCCGAAACCGGAGGCGAGTCTGCCGCGGCGGAGGCGCGCCTACCTCGAGAGACTGGCGCCTGTATTGGCCAACCAAAGCGAAGACTGCCTGTATCTGAACCTCTACGTGCCGAAACCTCCTCACGGTAAGTGCCGACGATTTTCTTCCCTTGTCCCGCGATCCTCCGATTTCCTACAGTAATCGTGGATTCCAGGGAGGTCCGGTTTTAAGAGTGCAATCCCTCAAGCGACTCTGAAGTCTGTGTTGATAGGTGTTTGCTTGAAACTTGTCTCGAGTATGACACTCGAATTCGGAATTCGATTAGTGAGCTTTTCAGAATCGTGATTACAGATATGTCAGATATGTCATATGACTCAGTTTGAAGAACTCGTGTCTAACCCTGAATTAAAATTTGGATATCTAATATGAGACCAGTTTCAAGCGACAACTATTAATACAGCCCTAAGCGGGACACCCGAACGGATCTTACATAGAAAAAGAAAATGAATGCTAGAGTCAAATAAACGTAATTATTTGTTTTTCCGTCTCTTAAGTCGAGTAATATTTTGGTGAATTTAAGTATATTTTGATAACTTATATAGTAAATATTTACTTAAACGTAGTAATATTTTAATTTGTAAATGAATTACCGAACAGGGTATTTACTAGAATTATGCATTCCTTCTTTTCCATTAAACAGTTTTGGTGCTTTTAAATTTCGATTCTTCTGTCCGGTAAATATTTTCGAAAGACAAATCGCGATATTCCCAACATTACGAATTTAATGCTTGTCGCAGTTGTTTTAACACACACAAATAAATGTCTTCTTATACGAAGGAAATATTGTATACAGTCAATTACGTTTCTACTTCTAGTAAATATTTGCCAAGGAATATTGGAGCAACCATTTAACTTGGATCAAGTAAATATTATTCGCACGATAGCACTTTTTTTTTTTCAGTGTAGTTGCTCGCCCCCAACGTTTCTCTGCGAAAATTTTTTTCCGGTTTACACTACGATTGAACAAAATATACGAAACGTTTCAAATGTTTGCACTTTACAAATACACACAAACACATATACACACGCTATGCGCGTTATATAGACTATAGTAACATTAAAAATACAACCCCGTTTATCAATCTCCTAGTCTGATATTCGGTTAAATCATCGTTCGACTCTGACAATGACAGTCGCACGACCGGCAGAAAAGAAATTTCCTCCCATATTCAGGATAGAAAAATGAGACTTCGAATCGGTATCGAAATGACACAACCTATATTTCGCAACAATTTCGGCTGCTTTACTCGGAATCTACCCTATATATGGCAGAATTCCTATGCGGGTGGTAGCGCGGCACCGCGACGAAAGTTCGCGAGGCGGAGGAGCGGGATATCCTCTTGTTGGCGCGACTTTTCCGATTCATTGTCGCGGATCGATCTCGCGAAACTTGTTTCCCCGCTTATTCGATCGCGAGAAAGAGAGAGAGAGAAGCGTTCCAAGTTCGAAATAAAGTTGCGAGGGGGATACGCGCGCGAAACAGCTGCAACTACTGCGCGACGCGCCGATCGGAAAACACCGTTGTCTCGGCGCGCGATCGCGCGCCATCAAACGCGAAACTCCTCGCGAAAACATAAAGCGGAACTCTTCGGAATATAGCCTTTTCGGGCGGCAAAGTTCGCTGACGCCCCGTCGCCGCGCGACTCCGCTTCGAAACACACACGTGCCGCGTCCAATTTCAGAGAGATCGGCCAACTTCGCCGAGAGCGCAGCGCCGCGAAGCGGGGCCGTCGCGACGGCTGAGCGGCAATTTCATTCCGCGATAATTTGATTATCGGCACGTTCGAGCGATGCAGCGGGGCTCGGCGCGCGTTCCAACGCCGAGGCAGTGACATCGCGCTCGTATAATTCCGCGCGACGAGTAGGCATGCGAAACTCTTCCGTCGAGAGGACGCGAGGTCGCGTCCGTCGAGTTTACCAAACGACGTTTTCCGCTCCCGTCGCCGGGTCCGTGGCGCGTCCAGCGCGATCCTGGACGTGAGAACTCGCATCTACATAGCCGCAGTCTCGGCTATTCCGGCCGCAAGTGCGCCGAGTAACGAGGTGTGTTACGAATTTCCACCGCGATAAAATTGTACCCGTTGCGAAAAGCGTATTAAACGCCGGCGTTCGCGCGCCGAGAACGCGTGACCGTCGTCGTCGTCCTTTTTACCGGGCAGGTTCGCGCATTAAAAGCGCGGGGAAAGCGGAAAGATCGCGAAACCAGCGACTGCAATTTGTTTCGTTAGCGAATGCTTCTGGCAGGTTGTTAGAGCTAATTTCGCCACTTAATACGACGTGCGTCGGTGGGGGTAGAAAGGAAGGGGGTGGGAGCGAGGAGAGAAGGGGCGAAAAATATCGCACTTCGCAGCGAGAGAGATGATACGGCGATTTTAGTGGCCGCGATTTCGCGGCTGTCGCGATGCCAGGGAGCTTCCTCCTCCGTAAGAAAACTACTCCGCGCTTTTCCACTTTTTCACCCTGCCCTCGCCTCCTCCTCTCCCATCCTCCTCCCCCACCTTCCTTCTGCCCCCGGCCCCCGTCATCTTTTCTCTCGACTCTTAGCGCGGGGATGGAGAGCGCGGACGTTCGCAACAAAAGGACGGGGATCGATCGGTTCATGGAGACGCTTTACTGATTGCGAGTACAGAGAGAGAGAGAGAGAGAGAGAAACTTTCAGATGAAGCGCGAAACGCGAACTGATGCGCGAGCTCGTAGATGCGAAAATCAGCGCGCGCACGGGAGAGAGAGAGAGAGAGAGAAAATCCCGCGATAAATTCTCGCGCGACGGGCATTCGATCGGATCGCGTTCTCCGCCGGACGGAGGTCTCTTAATTTCCCGCGCCGAATCTCGTTTCCCCCGACCGTTCGGGAAAGCGCGCGCTACCCGGGAAAAATGTGTCTGAATTTTCACGCGAAGGCGAATTTTCGCTCGGGAGAGAGAGAGAGGCACGTTCGAGGATGGGCGGAATCTTCGTCTCGAGGCGAAGAAGCGTGCGCGGTATCGCGAGCATATTGACAAACGGATATCTCCACTCCCTCGGCGAAAGGCGTGAATCGATGCGCACGTTGATCGATCCGACGTGAAATTAATTAAAACTGAAATTGCCCGAGCTCGACGAAGTCTCTACAAAACGCGATCGTACGGAGATAGCGCACGTACGACGAGACATTCGCGCACGATGTATTATATATATATATATATATATATATGTGTGTGTGTGTGTGTGTGTGTGTGTAGGCGGAAAAATCCACGGATTTTCCATTTTGTTCCATGGGATTTTTCGTGGAGCCGCTATTATACTGTCGAATAAAAAGCCGTAACTACCCGACGTTTCAGCCGGGATTAAAGAGAACGATCCGTCGTTGCTTCCTTCGCTTTCGCGTGGAATCCTTTCGCTACTTTTACTGAAGCGAGCACTTTTTCCCCGCGAAGCGCGATTTGCCGATGCATAGATGCAGCAGCACCGTCACCGCCGGTATCACTACTCGTGGCACACATAAGGAGCTTAGTTTCCGATCTTCCATCTACGGATATCACCGCGGAAAATTCAGCGCAAGATTTAAGCTCCTTCATCGACCGCGTTCGCCAATGGAAACATGTTATTAAATCGCTGTTTGCGAGTGTAATATCTTGTCGGGTGGGATCTCGTAGATCTCGATCGGATAGGCGTCGCGCGATATCGAGAGCCGAATAGAAGAGGCGCTCAACACGGTTGTGACGAGTCTCAAGAGGAAGGAAGAGAGAGAGGGAGAGAAAAGGAGAGGAAAAAAGGGATCGCGAGTAATTAACCGAGATCTCGTAATTTTTCGCTCGATCTTGCGAAACGGTCGAGAGGACGCGGAGGAGGGGTGATTTCGCGGGGTAAAAAGCGCGAGCTCGTTTGCATTTAAAAACCCCCGATCTCGCATTAAAAGCGCAATCCACAAAACATAACTGGAATAAAGGTCGTTCGTTTGAGATGAAATACGGGGACCGGGTTACGTAGATTGCGCAAGGAGGGAATGCGTAATACGCGTCGTATATCACGCGGAATTCGTGCTTATTTTAGCGGTATTGCGTTTATCCGGCGGATCGAGAGCTCTTTCGTCTCGGATCAGCCGTCCCCGATATTACTTTTATGGTTATATCCTACGTCTGTTATTACGTAACGTACGCGACGAAAGCGCGTAACTCTGGACTGTATTTTCAGCCTTGGATGCTTACGACGCCGCTCATCCGACTCGACCACGAAGTCGCCGGGAAAAATTCTGATGCGCAATCGTCCATTTCGCACGCACGTTCTTGCGTTTTATTTGTTTCACGTGCAAAAGTCACGCTCGATCCCGCACGTTGAAATTAATAATCGTAGTCGACCCACTTTTGTATAATATAACCATTTCATAAAAAAATCTCTCCATCCGTCTCTCTTTCAGAGTTGTAATAAATCGAGTCAAGTTAAACGAACTCAATTTCAGGATCGCACAGGATTGCACACACGCGAACCAAACGCCCTAATTTTTTCCCCAGCGAAATTTCGGTGTTCCTTTAATCTCTTGTTTGCGTTGTAACAAACGCGAAATTCACTTCGCCGAGCTGACTCGAAACATTATCGGTAACATCCATCACGTTGCGATTCACTTAATCTATCAATCAAAGACGGAGTCACACTCACATTACATACGCAGCTGGACCATCCGGCGCTTTCCTTTTTTCGCATGCAACTACACTATGTTTTTTTCATACACACGCACATACAACTGCTGGACGTTTCACTTTCGTTAATCTTCCATTGTTGATTAAACTCTGCAGTTCAAATCCCCCACGCGGCCGACTGTTGATCCGGCTCTATTTTGATTCAATTTCGCACCGGTTGCTCGTGCCCGGCAAAATTTGCGTAACCCTGATACTTAGTTCTTTTTGCTCGATATTTTTCTTTTTTTTTCGACCGGCGCATATTTGCATTCTTCATGATACCGGCGTGCGCGCGTGCGTTTCGTTTTCAGTATCATTGCGCGTTAACCACGTTTCGCGCGGTGTACCTCACGGTGCACCGTTGTATCACTTGCACACACACACACACAAACACACACCCCGACCACTTTCCGTCCGTATCGGAAATTACGTGGCGACCGGCGGCGTTATTTTCCTTGACGCAACCGCTCGCCGGAAAATTTGATATAGGGCGGTTTAATACAATGCCTCGGCGAGGAGACGCTGAAGGAGGAAAGGGGAGGGGGGGGATGGTGTTTCGTCACGCGGGAAGGCGCTTGCGAGGTGGTGGTCGTCGTTGAATATCGCTCACGTGAAAATAATATTCGGGACGCTCGGGCGTAACGAAAGCGTCGCGAATTCATCCATCTGTCGTTCCCCGATCGAGCAGCAAACATTCCCCCCTGCCCCCTCCGCCGGTTTTGTGCGTATTCGCGTGTCTCGCGCGAGGAATCCGTCTCGCTGCGAGGGATGAAAGAATAAAGCGCACTTTTATCTAGGAAATGATGAGAAACCAGCACGCGCGCGGAGCTTCGCCCCGTTCTTTCGCACAATGGCGAGGCGGATGCTGCATGCGGGAGAAGAAATGAAGCGGACGCGGGAGGGGGGAGGGAGGGGTATTGGAAGGACAAGATAAAGCGACGACGAAAGGAGCTCCATCTCCCCCGTAGAATGCTGTAAGGGAATGCTGCAAGTGTAAGGATGCGTTGCATCCTCAATTCCGTAGTGCATTGCAGTCGATTATTCGATTCACGAGAGAGAACCTGCAAGCACCGCGGGAGTGAGGCGGCTTCGTATCAGATCGACGTTCTCTGCTCGTCTCTGGCTGCCTCCGACGTTGATCTACAAGCGATCGGGACGAATGTAATGAAGAGGACCCGAAAGAAGAGAGGACAGGCCTATTGCGGCCGCGCCGATTGATTCTTTCGCGCGCTCGCGTCAATACCGCGTCGTGTCCGCGGCTGCATGTCGATTGTCATTCAGGTCGGAGACGCAGCACCGACGTGCGAAAAATGTTTATTAGAGCCCCAATTAGGAGAGAAAAAGTCCGCAACAACGACTCGCTCGTACGGATTCTTCGATCGCACGAAGCGTCTCTTCGGCGAGGGAGCCTCTGCAGAGATCTCCGCTTTCGACGCGATGCGAAGTATTGGATATCTGCGTGATTTAATCTTTTATTCTTAAGATACACAGGACGCTCGTCGTCAAGTGTCTCATCCGTTATTTACTTGTAGTTCAGGTCGAAGGAAAGAAAAAAAGTCCCGCAACATTTTGCAAACAACCGCCAGGAAATTCTGAGTTTTGAATTATTGAACATAACAAGGGGCTGAATTCGGAGGCTTCTTTAATTGATAACTCAAAAATCTACGCGGTTATTTGCAAAATAACAAAAGGTTGCTGAATACATGAGTTATATATTGAAGAAGTCTCTGTACATGGCCATTTTCAATAATTAATAACTCGAAATCTTGCGTGGTTGTTTGCGAAACGAAAAGGACTTTGTTCACATTATGACCTACATTATACGAGTGTACGACGGATGGGACATTTACAGGACACTTAAGGACACCCTGTACAAACCGAGTGGGAGAAAGAAGTGATCGAATGAAGAAGCTCGTGAGAAACGAATTCGTCGTAGCTATTTGTGAAATCTTGCGTAACATAGAAGCCAATTAACGAACGCGAAGCGAGCTTTTTAACTTCGTGCGAGTTAAAATCGCTGTTACGATAACGACTTAGCAACCTCTCGTTAAGACCTCGCGATAACGACCTCTTCACATTAAGGGCAAACTTTGGGCCGCTGATATATGTCGGGTCGTTCGAAAAGATTCCCCCCGTTGCCGAGTCCCCGCGAACTTCCTTATGAATTTATCGGTCCTCCCCTCTCTCCCTTTCCCAACGTACGTTACGTAATCACGTTGTAAGCCGAGTTGGAATTTAAAGGCTCCGTGCGGCACGGCGACGCGCTCCGTACACGCGAAACCGCGCGGAATTTCTCACTCGCGTTTCCTGTTATTTAAGGTCGTAATTCTGTTCAGCCTTACGAGCATTCGGAACCTGGCGTTTCGAGGAGAAAAAGAAAGGCAGAGGAACATTGTGATACAAATCAGATGCATCTTCCTCGAAGAAGAATTTCACCGGATACCGAAAGAAAGGGGGAGGAAACGCGAAACTTCGCGCGCGCGAGTTACCGGAATAATATCTCTAATGGAAACTCTCGGGGAAAAGTACATTTGCATGTCTAAAGTTTCGCCCTATCGATCGTATTTATTATCGCGCGCGGGGAAAGCAGGCCCGGTTCGAGGTATCCGGAGGAGTACGCGCGTTGTGTCACCTCTCGAGGCAGCGGCGGCCGGGAGCGCTTCGCACGTACAACGTATCGCGCTCTCGTAAAAAGAGACAGCGAGAAATCTATAATTTACTAACTTCCGGGGCGACGCGCGAACAAATCGAGCGCGACCGAGACTAGTCGATGCCGGGGAAGCAATAAAAATACCTCGGATCGCTCGTAAATGCTCTCGAGAAATACTATCTGGCGATCGCGCGAGGAAGGCGCGACGAGTACGTAGGTTTTCGCAGGCTCCCAGCGGAAAAATACGCAAGAGGCGAGAAATCGCCGAAGGTGGGTGTCGTTTGCTCGCTCACCTACTTAACTATCTGTCGCCTAGTCTGCGCTATGAGGATCGCAACAGGTGTCTCTCGCCTGCCATCGCTCAGCGCGACGCGATCATTCGTTCCCCGACAATTATGTGATTTCGATTGCGATTACCGCCACCGACATTAGTTCGACATTACTCCCGATCGAGGGGGAGAGGGGGATGCGTTGTTGCGGCTGTTTGGGTATAGAGAAAGATAAGGTTATATTGTGAACTTCGTTGAAAAAAATTTCTCGCGGAGATGTCACTTGGGATTTTTTATCTGACCCTATATGGAGAAAAATAATCTGCTATCGCGGCAAAATCTGCCAGTTATTGTATAAATAGCGAAAGGATCTGTTAAGAATATCAATTGCTGGATTATTTTGCTGAATCTGCAAATTAGTTTGCTGTAAAAAGAAATTAGTAAATGTAGGAAAGCACTGTTTTCTTCTGCAACGGCAAATTAACGTGTCTCAAGGATAAGAAAGCTGGTTCCGCTCTAATTACAATTGATTCGCTAATTTGATCACGCCAACTCAATTCTACCGCTGTCGCAACGAATACGTGGTAGCAACGATGGCTTCGTTACGATGGCAAAATTATTTTTCCCCGTGTAGACGTTCAGTATCTCTCCGTTAGAGAAATTAATATTATTATGGTTTAAGTTGGACGTGCGATCTCGTAGGTATTGACGCGCGAACGACCCACTTTGAAGTGAGAAATCAATAATAAGTGTGACACATGTCACTTCGCCGAGTGTGTCAGCGCTCGTATTCTACGTTTGACGTAAATCGTGGTTACATAATTGCTTCACGATACACTTAATGCGATTTTCATTATTTGACTAATAAAACTGAAAATTAGATAGCGCCGTCGTGAGCTTATAGTCGTGTAAGCCGGCGGGCTTATAAAGTTATACAAGCTTAATCTCTGGTACGTGCGGCCGTGCAGGAATCCGCGGTCCCTTCTTACTCGTCTTTTTTCGGCATTTTTATCGGCCACACCTCCACGGCCGGAGATGTTTATTTGCGCTTTCATAATCACGCTCGAATTGCTCATTATGTCGCGCTCGGATAAGAACCGTGTACATATTTTTACTGCAAACGTTGCTCCGACCGAGTGTACCGAGATCAAAGAGGAATTTTAGCCTGAGCCCGATTTTATCGTAATCGAGATACCCGCCAAGGGGAGGGGAGGGTGTAATTATCGCATTGTAGCGAGAGCCGGCTGTGAGCTGCTCCGATCGAAGTTCTCGATAAGGAAAACCCGACTCTCGATCGAGAAAAGAGAGAGAGAGAGAGAGAATCCGAGTGACACGCGTCGAATGAGACGACGAAGGAGACGCGATCGAGAAAACCGCCGAGCTCGGCAATTGCCGCGAAATGAAAGCGTATTTCCCATTGCAGCGCATTGCGGAACGAGTCGTAAATCATAAAATAAGCGGCGACGTTTCCATCAATTTTACGAATGTGTCCGTTCGCTTTGCGTTTATGTCAGTGTTTTATTTCAGCGCGCGAGACATTTTCCCAGAGAGACGAGTTGCGGTAGAATATCGCGTCTGATGTTGCAGGTAGTATCGCGGACTCGCTGCCGGCTCTCCTCCTCATCCACGGCGATTCCTATTCGTGGGGCGCTGGGAATTCGTTCGACGGGACCGCCTTGGCCGCTCACGGACGCCTCATCGTCGTCTCCATCAATTTTCGTCTGGGGGTGCTCGGTAAGCTCGGCAATTTCAACTTATATCTTCGTAACCGCCCCCTCTCTCCTACCCCGAGCCATTCCGCAGCGTCGAGACACACGGCCGCGCAAAACCGCTCGCGATTATTTCGCTCGACCGTCCGCGACCATTTGCGAATCATTCGAGATCGCTCGCGACTGTTCACGACAGTCCACGAGAAATTGATTCGGAAAGTATCCCCCGCCCCTCAATCATCTCGCTGCGCTGCGGGCGCATATATGTCTCGGAGAAATTCAGAAATTCAATGCCACGTATTTGTATCCATGAGGAAATGCTAACGCGGAATATGCGTTACTTGGGGGATGTAATTCTTTCGTGTGTTTTCATTTACTTTGCCCAACAAATTGCCATCACTTTGCGGCCCGCGTTTCATATGAGGTTGTTTTCCGGCTCAAGCAAACTGAGCCTATGACTCATACTTAGCATTTGTTTTTATTGGACAGTCACAGATGGTACTTTTTTTTTAAGTGGAAAAGTCAAACGTGGGAATATTGATCCTGCGAGACTATAAACATCGCTTTTTAAGATTTCCACATATGATAAAATATACTATAGATTTTACTTTGAAAGTATTATCTATTATAATTGTAAAAAATTTTACGCACCTTTTGGAGAAAATGCAATAATATAAATCGTCTGATAGAAAATCTCCGTCGCGAACATGCTTCTATATTAATATTTTTATGCTTTCGTATATTTCAATTACGTCGTCTATAATTATATTTTTCACTTTACCACGTTTGGCTGTGGCTCTTCTCTTACGTTTACAATTGTTTTAACGTTTCGCATAAGCACGTTTCGCTTTTGCTTCTTTCCACCTTCTATCTACCTTGAATCCTAGATTTACGTGTGTGTCGTTAATATAAATTGTTAATTTAAATTTCCCAGAAATCCTTTTACCTAACAGCTAACTATATTATGAACAATCTATTGACACTACTTATTATGTTTTGTCATTCATTATATTAATATTATGACATTATTAATATCTAGTGGCACTAGAACAACCGTGCTTGGCTCCTCATGTCTTTATATCGACAATTTATCTTTCATCGGAGCTGTTATCTTTTAAGATTTAGTTAATATTAACGTTCTCGTGACGTTACTATCTCGTTGACGACGGATTCAACGTCGGAATTCGTGCGACGATACTGTATCGTCAGCGGACCGCAAAGTGTTAAAGACTAGTGTCCGACCGAAACCACTTTTTTTCACTTTTCGGCCGAAACCGTAAACGAATATTCGATTCTTTTTCAGTTGCGACCGAAAATAAACCGAAAACAAACCGAAACCTGAACGAAAGTTTTACAAAAGTTAAGATGGAAAATGGATGCCACGATGAAAATACATCTATAATGATACTTTATTAAATTATAATGTGTGTGTATGTTGATACTTTATTTAAATTTGATTAAACATAACGTTGAAAATTTCGGTTGCTTTAATAATGGATATAGAAAATAAAAAACGAGAGTTATAAAATAACGGTCTTTAAAAACGCAAAAAATAGACTTATGATTACATACATTTGTATGAAATGTAACATATCTTACGCCGAAGAAGGGAGAATTTCCGAATTTTCACAGTAGTCGGTATACTGGCTTTGACCGACGTGTTGTGACTTGATTAGTTTCGGTTTACACCGAAACTGTTTTTCAATTTCGGCCGAAACCGAAGCCAAAGCGAAACCCTGATTTTTGGTCGAAAATAACCGCAGCCGAAACCGAAATTTCGGTCGGACACTATTACAGGACTGAAATGCTTTCAATCGTCACGAGATATGTTCAAAGGTGAAAGGTTTAAGGAATTGTCACATAGTCGCTTGGCTTATCGACGAAGGATTAATTTTGCGTACTTTAATAAACAAAGAAAAACAAATCAAGTTTTCGATCGACATCACGATTACTTCGGACGACAAACGTCGAGAATCGTCGACAGATGATACTTTTGACACGCGGATCTCTTTCGGGTAAACCCTTGTCCCGACAAATTATCGTCGACCGAGCGCAACAATGACGAAACGGCGACAATCAAGACATTCGCGTTGCTAGACGATTCGTGAGCGAGCAAAAACAGTGGATAGAAAGTTTCCGGATTATAAAGCGCGCCGTGGTTTACTCCGCTTTGTTTATTATTACGGCGCGAGCCAGCCCTTTTGTTCTTTCTACAGACCGAAAGAATGATCTCATTAGTCGTGGCAGCCGGGGAGGGGGGGGGGTAGTTTGCCGAGATTCTTACCAGATTACTTTCCGCGCGGTTATATACGAGAATTCTCCCTCGGTGGGTTGTTACCGGCGCGATAGTCGCAACTTTAAAAACGCGACGTCACTTCGAATGTGAATATCGGGGAACCGGAGAGCCGGTCGCTGCGAGAGATACGTCTTCTCTCACGAAAGAGAAAAAGGGAGAGAGAGAGAGAGAAAGAGAGAGAAAGGCGGTCGCGTGTGCGTGTCAAAATTAAAAACGGGAACAAAGGGGAAAGAAACAAAGGGAGTTTAATGAGGACGAAGAAGGGGGATATATGTAAGGTAGCGTTTTTCACGCGAGTAGACTTTCGCGCTCGTTTATCGCATGGCCGGCTCTCGAGAATCTGCTAAATGTCGTGCACATAATTTCAACCGCGGGGGCGTCGCGCAGGCTGTAATTGACATCCGAGCGAGTCTCCGTCCCTCGTTCGCAAATCTCCGGCGGTTATCGATGATATCCGTTTTTTTAGTTGATTCATAAAATTTTTATCAGAATATCGCGCGTGTTCCTACTTCCCTCTCTCTTTCTCTCTCTCTCTCTCTCTCCCGCTCCCTTTTTTGAATGCCGAACAAAGTGGGGCTGTAATTTCGCGTTAATCCACTTCGGTAACTTGTTACATTTCCATTTCGCGAGTTCCTCGGCGATTTTCGCGCCGCGTTTTTTTTACCGCCGTTGAGTCCGCAATCCGGTATCCAGTACCCTCCTTTCCCCCTTTTTCCCCCGCTCGGCGCTATTTCTGGAGCGTGCTATTTAGGGGTACACCGAGAATGCATCGCGCGGTTAATAAACGATAAACAAGTGACTTGTATTCGAAAGAGCTTATTCGAAAGATGTGCAAGCGCGTGTTTACAACTCCGTACGGCCATTCATGAAAAAAGCCCGGGGGCGGTCGACGGAATAATTTTCGATATCGATACGCCCGTATTTTCAGCCGGGGCGCTGTTTTTGCTCTTCTCCCTTTTGTCGGGCGCGCTGCAGTTTTCCGTATGCGTTTTGTTCATCGCCGTAGCGAAACAATGCCCGCGGTATTATCCAATATCGCGCGGCCAGCGGACTCGATTTCCTTCTCGTCGTTTTATTTTTTTCCCCTTCCCCCTCCCCCTTTTCGTTATTCTACTTATTATTCGTACTTTCCCCGGTGTTTCGTGCCGCATATTTTCGTGCTTCACGGATCGCGGTTCCCGTGCAAATAAAGTTGCCGAGATTGGTCTCCGTTACTTTAAATAATATCGGGTGTATTTCCAAATCGGTCACGTATTCGAAAAATTCCCTCGTCTCCCGGCCGAACGAATTGAAACGATCCGGTGGATCGGAAAACGATCATTCGGGGGGGAAAAGCGGCTGAAGGGAGCGGTCCTGCCGCGGACAGGTCCCACTTAAATCGCGCGAACGGCCGTTATAAGCGACACAATTATTATTTACTCAATACTCCACGATAGTGCGTATATTTCCGATGTTAAATACGAGTGGAAAAGTGTGGGATTCGGCGGATAATTAAGCGCGCGACGCGTGAGTGGGAAATTGAGGGGTGGAATCGGGATCGAGATCGAAATCACTCGCCTCGCCAAAATGCGACGACGGAGGAAAGTAACGCCGTAATCGTAGGATAGGCCACGGCAAATTGAAGCGAGTGAAATCGAGCCGGCCGAGCAAATGTTTAATTTTCATCCGATTTGTCCGATTCGCGGCCTCGCTTGCCGTTAACAATAACCGTGTTTGCATTACGCGAATAGATACCTTGGCTTTCGCCCTGCCCCGGTAACTAACCCGGTAACAATTAATTAAATCAGAATTTTCCTCCTTCGCTCTCTCCATCTCTCTATCTCTCTCACTTGGCATGATCTTCTTAAAGTAAATACCAGCGGTGATTGTATCCGAGCTCTCTGTGAGCTCGCAATTAGTACAATAACATGAGCTCTTTACGTTACGTTTGCGCAAGGTCTGTGAGTCAAAGGAAGCAAGCGCGAGAAGCGAAAGAGGCTAGAGCGAGAAACGAGAAGACAATTGCGCCGTTGCGGAATTGTCCGAGCAAACGCCCTTGAATCGCGGCAATTTTCATTTTTCTTCTTTTTCTCACGAGCAGACAGCTTCCGTTCTCGGTCCATGCATAAAGAGAGAGAGAGAGAGAGAGAGAGAGAGAGAAACGGTGAAGGTGTCGCGAGATTGCGCACGCCGTAACCCGTGCGATGCTTTGCCGTGCGAGGAAATCCGCGTTGGAAAATACGCGGGCATAATTCGCGAAACGGCCGGCTGGATCCACTTATAGCCGGGCGTTAAATGAGAGTCGTCTACCTAATTCGGGTGCATTGAAACCCAGGCTTTCTGAAAACCGGGTCGAAGGGGAGCGCGCAGGGCAATTACGGATTGATGGATTTGGTGGCGGGACTTCATTGGCTGCGCGAGAATCTCGGGGCTTTCGGCGGCGATCCTGAGCGACTGGCGTTGCTGGGCCACGGCACCGGGGCGGCTCTCGCCAATTTTTTAGCGGTCTCCCCAATGGCGAAAGGTAAGGTCTTTTAATCGTTCGCGAGGCGTGCGATCGCGCGGATGCCGAGGCGATTCGCGACCGACGCGCACCGCGTTTTGTTTGCGCACCGGCTAAATGCCGCGCGCGCAAACAAGATGAGGAAGCGTCGGGGCTGCATCGGAAACCGCAAACGAGCTCGAAGGACGCGGGCAGATTCATGCGGAAAACACAAGGATGTATCAATGATATATATTGTTAATTTTCGTTCCGAATTATTCGTACGTTTTATACTTCACAGCATCAGTTTGAGGGTGTGAAAGTGGGGATTTGCAGAAAAATATCGCCTCTCTCTCTGCGTATCTGCGTGTAATATGTAATTAACGTTGATTGGATTTTTTCCCTGAGATACATCAGCATTAGTAAATGAAAAAATATCATATCTGTCTGTTGCGGCTGGGATATATTTGAAAAGTATTATATAACATTAAGTTAAAAAAGCACTTTGATGCATGTTTAATTGATATCTGTGCACAGAATCTGGCAGGAATGCAATTAAATACTTAACAAGTTAATTAAATTCGCACGGACAAACGAGAAATCCAGACAAACATGGAACCATAAACTAATTTTTTTCGACGTATTGTTTCGAGGCTTTTTTTTTATTTGTAAGCCAGTAGTCCTTTGTATTACTACGCGCGCTAACATTTAAAAAAAATCGAGGCTTGTGTCAGCAATTTTCATAAATAACAGGTACATGTTTAATTTACCGGAGAAAAATATCGAAAGAATAACAAGTGAAAAGGTGAAAAATAAAAATGAAAATATGCATGTGATTTCTGCGGTTGAATAAGTATGTCAAACCATTTTTAATTAACGCAGCGAAACAATAATTTTCCCATCTCCTGGAAACCATTTGGAGTCATACAACACACACACACATGTTACTATGGAAAAAGTAAACTGAAATAGACTAAAGGTGACTTATCAATTACGGATACTCTGAATTTTCGAGATATTAATCATTTTACAATATGTACAATCGTATGAAGAACTATTGACTTGCAAATAAGCAAAATGGAATATCCCGGAAACGGTTTTTGTGAACTTAAGCTTGTTACAACTCGCGTGTCAATTTTCGCGTGTTTTATTATCCAGTCATATTACCTGCGGTTTTAAAGCACCCTGTATAAATTTCGGCTTCAGTATGAATGTATCGCGGTTGCACGATACTGATATGCTAATTTTTATTTCTGCCACAGTATATCGTTCTCGACAAAAATTCCCACCGCGTGCACACCATAAATTTATTTATTTTTCAAACCGCTTGTATATATGTGTGTGTGTGTGTGTGTAAACTGCTTGTAAACTCCAACCGTTCGCTCGCCGATGCAGGATTGATGATATTCCTTCTCACCGTCTGAATCGTAAAGTATCGCGAACTGAGTCCTTCGCAGTAGCCGATATTACCGTCAAGAAAGAGAATCAACTTAATCGCATTTAACATTCGACCGACCGCGAAAGCGAAACCCTTCTAAAGAGACGTGCTAATTACAGCTAATTGGTTAACGCTCTCGGCGTATAACCGCTGTCTAAGCTTCTCCTGGCGTTTGGAGAGGAAGCGAGAGGAGAAATGAGGTAACAGGCTTCGCGGACTACCAAAAGACTGATTTCCCGTTCGTGGATTATCGGATTTCGAAATAATAAAGAGAGCGGAGTACTATCGCCGCGGGGATGGTAACTGCAGGGATTTTAATTGTTTACTTCGTGTCCACGTGTAGAAAATTTCCTAGGATCTGATTAGAATCTATTCCGATTTTCCGAAATGATGGATTCTGATTGGGAAATCTACGAAGACTCGGAGGTGTAATGTTTCAAAACTACGATTCTATGCGGGAAATTCAGACAGATTCCATTTTCTCTGTTCAACGTTTACCCAAAGTTTTCTTGTTTTTTAGATTTCTATTTTATAATTATTGAATGATTATTTATGGAACGAGATATCTGAGAAGCTTTGGGCGGGGAAAGTAGGAGTTGTCTGGCTTCCCATATAGAAAGTTTCGTGGGATCTAATTGGAATCTATTCCGATTCTAAGTCGGAAACCCAGAGAGATTCCATTTTCTCTGTCCAAACGTTTGTATATACCTAAAGTTTTCTTTTTTCTAGATTTCCATTCTATATCTATGTTGAACAAAACATCTGAAAAGCTTTGAGTATTTACGTATATTTTACAGATATAAATATTGAAAACCGTATATATTCAAGCCGATTCAATTATTTTGCTCCAACATCAGTTATATAGTTTTATTTCTTACTGTAAGGTTTTCAAAAATCGGAGATTGAAATGGTCGCTTGAATATTTATGCTTTTCAAGTTATTTATATATTTGTAAAATATTCAAATCTTTTCAAATATTTTGTTGAATATAAAACACATAAAATAGAAATCTGTAAAAAGTAAATTTTGGGAAAATATCGAGCAGAGAAAAATGGGATCTATCTAAATTCCCGTGTTAGAAAATTTTATGAAGAGTATCTAATTCGAATCTATTCCGATTGCCAACTAAATAATATTGCGATTCTAAATGGGAAGCCCAGGCAGATTCCATTTGCTCTGCCCAACATTTTCCTAAAGTTTTCTTATAACTAGAATACAAATTCGATTTCTATTCGATATCGCAATATGTTACACTTATTTGAGATAAGTTTGGTTAATCCGATCAGAATCTATACTATATTTTGGAAACGTTCGGAAAATGTTTGTACGGGTCGCTATCTTCGCGGCTCACCGGACGCAATTAGCGAGAGACTTTCGCCGCGAATTATAGAGCTGATCGGGAGGGTGATCCTGCTTGGGGGTTCAGCCCTTTCGCCATGGGCGGTCCAGCGAGATCCGCTGACGGTGAAGCGCCGGGTCGCCGATCAGACCGGATGTCCGAGCGACGTCGAGGCCGACGACATCGCACCGTGCCTTCGTTTGAGGAACCTGGACGAGCTGCTGGCGGTTAAGCTGGATCCGCCGAGATTCACTTCCGGATTCGCGCCCTTCATCGACGGAGCTGTTCTGCCACCGACGGTCAATCAGGTAAGACCGTAATTTCATCACATTTCGCTCTTCTCCTCCCCGCTCCTCCCTCGCCCTCGGTTGTAAAAAATATAACGCGCCGTTTCCACATTTACGATTACCGCCTCGCCTTCGTCGCGCAGTCGGTTTTACCTTTAATGTTCGCTCAATCGATCGCGTTCGTCTCTCTCTCTCTCTCTCTCTGCTTTTAAGACAAGTTTTTTGTAATAATCTTTTAGATAGTCAACACGCAGAGCTGTCAGACGAAAATGTCAATGTAAATTATAATGATTATCTCATTGTCAATATTTCTTTTGTGTAGAAATGTAAATATCGTCTTAACTAAGTAGAATATTATCGTACAGTTTGTAGACCGTTTTTTTTCTTTTTTCTTTTCCTTCATAAGCAACACATTGTAAGCTAAACTATTTGTTGTATGCGCTCGAGGGGACAGCGTTACCAGAGCACGTGATAAATAACACATCTATTTGTCTCTCTTCAAATGCAAAATTAGAGAGGAGAGAGGAGAGAGAGAGAGAGAGAGAGAGGGAAGGAGAGGGGGCGGGAAATTAGTTGTTCCAAACGCCAAAGTTAATCGACGTCGGCGATATCGATCATTAATATTACGGTTGTAATTAAAGGGCAATAATTATGAGGAATTAAATCTCCAGTAGAGCAACGTTCAATCCGCGTCGACCTCAACGGCTAATTATTCCTCTCTTCTGACGGGAAACCCAAGGGAGCCTTTAATAATCATCGACTGCGTTAACATTACAACATCGGAACTTTTGCACCGAGCTTTTCATAAGTTTTCGGCAACCGGCGCCGCTGATAGGCGCTTATCTGCGTGAACTTCGACACGGCTTCGTCGGTTCCGCGCTTTTGACATTGCGCCGTTTTTCATGAAATTTGCATTTACATCCTCCACGCTTGGGACGTACATGCCGCCGGTTGTGGTGTGGTAGGAGAGGGGGAGGAGGAGAAGGACAGGCGGGCGAACGGGTCTCGTTTAAACTCGCGTTACGCGTTAGAATATCCCACTACTTCATAGGCGATGTAAATAAATATTATGGCGGGCGTTGAATAAACATCGGTCTCAGCGCGCACACGTGTCGTCTGTTCGGCGGGCGATTACGAAATTTGCGAATTTCGTTGTAATTGCATGCGGATATTAGCCCGGCCCAACAGCACCGGCGGCCGGCCGACCGGCCGGCGTATTGATTTTGCGCAAGAGCGAACGAGACGACAGGTAAACGATGAATCTGCTAATTGAACGGACAACCGGCTGACAGATGACGGATCCGAGAACCGTAATAGCTACTTCGTGCATGCTCCATTAACCTATCCGCCGATAGTGTAGTGCATGTCTCGTCGCACTCGTCGCGATATCGCGGTATCGCGAACGCGCGTAACCCGGAAGTGCCGGGCGAACGGAGAGAAACGGGCAGGCGCCGAGCCGCCTCCCGATCGATAACAGCGTGTTTCTCTCGCGAACGCTGCGAGCGGGAAATGCGAAAAAACAAAGCGAAACAATGACGAAATAGACGGGACGCTTCGATCAGAACTTCCAGCCCACTGCCTCTTCGTCGGGACTAATGCCGATCGTACCCGGACCCGGCGCCGAGTTCGCGGACTTCGGCGATCGCGACTTACTCTTCGGCCTTACGTCCGAGGAAGCCTGGGTGAACCTCTCCGAGGATGATCTACAGGTGAGTTCGACGTGAGTTCGTTTCAGTCGCCGACGGTAATTCGGAGGAAATGTTCGCAAACGTGGGAAAACACGGGAATTATCGCGAAAAAAATGACTCAGCAATGACTAGCTAAATCTTGTCAGCTTGTCCTCGAACCTTGCTTTGCATTCACACTCAAAAGTCGGCTGTTGGAGGTAAAATGCACTTGCCGTGATACACAACTGTGTTAGCTGAAATGCCAACGTTTAACCAAGGTTCAAAATATTTATTATCACATTATAAGACGTTATAAATAAATATGGCGGCATAATTGGTCAAAGAGGGACAGGGGTGGTTAAAATACGGCTGATATTTTTCGCTGTATTTTCGCTGCCTAAATTCAAATATCCGATGAATTCAGCTGCGGTAGCAACGACATTAGCTGTCCATAATTCCACAGCCGTATTACAATTGCTACGTTTAATTTTTTTCACTAAATGCACACGTGTCAATTGTGTACGTTTCGTCAATTTCCACCGTGAACGCATTTGTATTATTCGTAACATTCCTCCGAAAGCGTGGAAATGTGTATCCACGAAAAAGTATCGGTACATTTTAAGCTCTCGCGTGCTATCGATTTCATCAAGAAATTTGTGCTCGGCCGGAAGTAATGTCCTGATTAATAGCCGAACACCTCGCGCATAATATGTAATTGACGTTGATTGGATATAGCTCGACAAATTGATGAGCTTTACGATGAAAGCGTCACGAGCGAGAGCGCGCGCTATTCGTTCCGGATATTATTGACTCTCTGATGGTCACGGCCACTGAGCGAGCGAGCGCGCGTCTTTCCACTTTAGGATTTACGTGTGTGCGAATCAGCAATCCGTATGCAGATATAATCGTCGGCGGAAACGAGTCGACATTATTTACGCAAATAAAATCGCGCCGATTACCGGCCCGGTTATCAGCGATTCGAGCGATTCTCTCGTGTGCACACATCGCGCGCGCGTTCGCCGGGCAAAGGAAATTACTATGAGCGACACATTTGCGCAAATCAAACATCGCGTGCCCGTAATAAAAACTCTCGAGCATCATTCCTGATAAGCTCTCGTCGCGAAACTCGTCGGGGAAAAAAAAAGAAACTTTCTCTAATCCCCCAATCGCGAGATCGAAATTTTTCGAATCCGCTTCGACGCCAAGCGCGATCCGCCTCTCCGACAATTAACAACAAACAATCAATATCGCGTTGCACGCACGCACCGAGTTTCAAAACGGTTTAAACTCTTCCTTCTTGATCCAATTTGGAACGCAACCGATGGCCCAATGAGAGAACTAATTTCTCGAAAACCAGTTCTCTCGTCACTGGACCATCGCTTGCGTTCCAAACTGCATCAAGAGAAAAATAGAAACGTGTTCAAACCGTTTTGGAAGCTACACTGAGAGACGTTTCAGTTATTTCCGGGCTCGACTTTTTTTATTGTTTCAAATCAGAAAAATAGCAGTGGCAACATGCATGTGAAGCTGTTATCACTGATACAGAAAAAAAAGTGCCCAGTATAGCACACAGAAAAAAAATGCTAGAATCAAGTAAATATAATTACTTATTTTTCAGCCCCTTAAATCAAGTAATATTTGTATCGATTTAAGTATGTTTTAATGGCGGAACGATTCACCGTATAATCCGCGTAGTGAAACAGCGGCGACTTTCTCTCTTATGGGTTGGCAGAACGGCTTGAACGAGACGAGGAGAGACCGTATATTGCGCACTTACGTCCGGAACACCTACCGATACCATCTGCATGAAATCTATTCGACACTTCGGAACGAGTACACCGACTGGGAACGGGGCGAGCAGAGCCTCGTGGCGATCTGCGAGGGTCTCTTATCTCTCCTCGGAGACGGCCAAGTCGCCGCGCCGCTCCTCCGACTGGCCCTGCTGCACTCCGCCTCCGCGGGACGGGGCTATTTCCTGCACTTCCAGCCGGACGATCGACCGAGTCAGAGGGGCGAGGAAGTGCCGTATCTCTTGGGCATACCTCTTCTTCGTGGCGAAGTCACGTCGTCGTCGGCGACGTCCGCCTTTGGCAACTACACGACCGCCGACGAGAACCTGTCGAAGCTTCTCGTCCATTACTTGGCTAACTTCGTGAGGCGCGGGTGAGTCCTCGCGATCCTTTTCATCTTCCGGCTTTTTAAATTAACGTCTAATTACGGGCGCATCGTAAATGAGAGAGAGATGTGTCTCTCTCTGTCGCTCGGCCGCGCGGAAATGAGGATCTCACGTGGTAGTTGGCGTGAAACGTAGCGGCGAGCGATTTCCCCGGCTTTATCGCGTCTTTATCGCGACCGACGGCCGCGCGAAAATGCTAACGAAAACGAGGAGCTCGTACCGTCGTTTTCCCGGCCGAGGAAGCACACAGCAGTTGTCAATCGATAACGCGCCGCCGCCGCCGCGAGATAACGCGCGCACGAGTGTGAAAGGGTTAATCGGATAAGTGAACGCGGCGTGCCTCTTGTTAATTCAGCCGGCTTGGAGTTCGTCCGAACTTAAGTATCACATGCACTTCGATTACCCCTCCGTGAAGAGGGTCTTGAAAGGTTGGTAGTTGTAGGGTGAAGTTACAGCTGGGAGAGGATTTTCGAGCCAAACTCCCGCCAAAGGCCGTTAGTGCGCTCAGCGGAAGCTCGCAATCTCGAAGCGGAGAGATGGAGAGTTGGCGGAGAGGAGACGCGAAGTGATTTCGGTCTCCCTAATTGCGGATCGTTGGCTATCTGGATGATTGCTCTGTCATTGACACGGAGAATTTTCTCGGATGGAATTTTCGTTTGCGGCGAACTGTCGCACGGGGTGCGGGGGGAAGCCACGTTTCGAATTGACACATTCGTGGTCCGGCCCTCTCGGATTCCGATACGAAATTTAATCGTTCAACTTTCTTCATTGTTGCGTATGCGATTAAGCATATATTAATTTTTTTTCAATATTTTCTCCATGTTATTACATTAATTTTTGTACAATTTAACATTTGACGTCGATGTTAAAATTTATCATTCGCGAGTAGAAATGTATCCAGTCAGAGTCAAAGGCCGATAACTAGAACAGGCTAGATTAAATTTTCCAGTCCGCAATTTCTTTTGTTTACCGTCGTCTAATTTATTTATCCGGCTATTATCTAGCCGCTAGAAGAAGCGAGAATTACATCACCGGCTGGTAGCGACGTCAGACACAAATTCACTCCCTGAGCCACGAGGTTCAGTTTCTACCGGGGACTTTTAACGTTATTAAATCTCATTATCAAATTTCCTCGCGGCCAAGTTGCAAAGCGGGGCAACGACCTGAGGGCGCGCGAGGGGAAAAAAGGAGAGAGCACGAGAGACGGTGTCTGTCCACTTGTCAAAGGCTCGTGGTTCGCTGGTTGTTCCAGGGATCCGAACGGCGCGAGTCCCTTGTCCTCGGGACTGGAGGGCGGCCTAACGACGAGCCCGCCGTTCTGGGACTCGTACGACTCCATAAACCAGTTGTACTTGGAGGCCGGCCACAGCCCGGAGATGCGTTCGCACTACAGGGGCCACAAAATGTCCCTCTGGCTGAACCTGCTGCCGCAGCTGCACCGGCCGGGCTACGAGATCAACATGCGGCACCACCACCTCGCGGACAGCCAGAACCTCTACGAGGGCCCGGTGCGTCCTCAGAGCACGGCCGTGCCGATACCGGCGCCCCCGCTGCCCCTGCCGTCCCCCACGGAACCCTCCTCGATAATAAACGTGCTGTCCACGACGGAGTGCACACCGAACGCGACCGTCGCGACCACGATCACACCCACCACCTCGCAGACGCTGCAGCACTCGAACCTGGGCCCGGGCCCCAACAACATCCTGCGTAAGCTCGCGTCCAGCCACTACCAGAGTTACACCACCGCCCTAACGGTCACCATCGCGGTCGGGGTGTTCCTGCTGCTGCTCAACATCCTGATATTCGCGGGCATCTACCACCAGCGCGACCGGAACGCGGGCGGCGGTATCGCCACCTCCTTCGGCAACAAGAAGAAGGAAGAGCTGCTGGAGGCCGGCTGCTCCGGCATGGACCCCGCCACGGGTAAGCAGCGACTGTCTTCCATGAACCTGATCGACTCGCCGTCGATCCTGCAGCCCCACAAGGCGAAGCTCGTCCAAGAGCTGGAGATGCAGCTGCAGGAGTTCCAATGCTCGCCGCCGCCCGGCGGCGGCAAGCGCATCCTGGAGCCGCCGTCCTACAGCAAGAGCCCGTGCGTCCAGAGGACCCGCACCCCGTCGCCCTGCGTCGACGCGACGATCGCCAGGATGGACGAGGTGAACGACGGGATGAGCGGCCTGCACGACAGCGAGGACGAGAACGAGGACGTGCCGGAGCCACCGCCGCCGCCCAAGGCACCGGCGCCGAACGTCGGTCTCTCGTGTCCTGGGATCCTGCGACAGCCCGGGACACCCGGCAGCGCGAAGAAGCGCGTGCAGATTCAAGAGATCTCCGTGTGATAGACGGGGGGGGACGAGACCTCCCTCCGCCGGGATCTTTTGATGTCGGGTCACGGAGCGATTCGCTGAGGTGGCGCGAGAGGAGCCGGGATCGTCGATCGAGATCAAGTGTAGCGCGAGGGCCTCTCCTCCTTTGAACTCCGGCCGGCTGTTATCGGGGACACTCGAGAGACGCGCGCACGGCGCCCGTCGAGGCGGCTTTCGTTGATGAGATTATCGTTTCCCGCTCGAGAATAAACCGACCGGTCTCTTCCGTTCTTTCTCTCTCACGCTTCCCCGTCTTCCTTTCGTCCGCGTGTTACCGTCACGTTGTCGCGAGCTCGCGCCAAGTTAACATTCACGGCGTTCGCGCGTTGACAGTTCTCTCCTCCGTGTCCTCCCGATACGCCGTGCTCGCTCGCACGGGGGAAAAACTCATCCCCAGCTATCGACTTACCAAGACGGACGTCGGTGCGTCCAGACCGACGAGTGACCTTCTTTGCCGGGGACATCAGGCGGCGCGTGTTCAGCAGCGTCGCTCGAAGAAAGTGAAACATAATAATTTCTACTTGCCCCTCTCACGCAGCGTTGCACAGTGTACGCGTACAGCAGCCATGAACGAACGTAGAAGGAAACGAACGGACGAACGAACAAACGAGCAGTGCCAGTTTAGAGGTGCGCGTCCTCGCCTCTCGCGGAGTGAGGTCTCGGCCGAGGCCTTCGGCGTGTGATTTACGTCCCGCAGAACCCTGCGAACGCCGGTTCGTAGTGGCCCCTTCGTAGACCCGAGACGTGATCCTCGTCCGTCCATTGGGGGACGCGCGAAGCGTGCCACAGGTTCGCGTTCGTTTGATTATCGCCGACCGCGAAACACGGGGGATTGACGTGATCTCAGGAATAAAATGAAACGCGAGGGACGTCTTCTTCGCGGCGGACCTCCACCGACCGCCCGTCGTCCGGGATGCGTCACGCACGCAACGGACTTCGTCCCGCAAACGCTAAACGGAATTAATCGAGGAATTGGTAGTCTTGGGCTTTGACTTCTAGGTTCATAAAAAAGATGACGAGAGTGACTAAATAATTGATAATATGTATGTTGTGTGTGCGTGTGTGTGTGTGTATGTGTGTGAGAGAGAGAGAGAGAACGCACGAGTGAGCGATGGACGAGGGAGGGAGAGGGGAGAAAAGAGATCGTGCTCCGGGAAGGGAGAGACAGGGTGGAGATCGGAAGAGGGACGTGTTTCGCAAAGAACTCTCTCTGTGTGGGAACGTTGGCTTTGTTTAGCGTAATCGGGCGTGTGTGCGTAGCCCCCGTGCGAAGAACTGGAACACGTACGAGCCGGGATAGAGCTAAACGGATTAACGGCAGAGCGGGGAGTACTTAAGGGGTTGTTGCAGGTGACTCTCACCCTCTCTTCCTCCCTCTTTCTCTGTCCTTCTTTCTCTCTCTCTCCCCCC